ACACGAAGCCTTCGTAGACTGGGACTACGTGGGTTACACCATCACCCGAGTCGACGACCATGCCGATCCGCTGGCCCTAGGGGGAGGGGGTACTTCATAAGAGTGTGTTCGAATGCACTTACAGTTGCTAGGAGGGACAAGACGGCCTGAACTGAGACGTTGACGCACTCGAAAGAATATCTTAGGTTCAATCGTGGTGCACACGGATGAAAAGATACCACTTTACCGTTCGAACATCTCAGTAAGGATCCTCTCTCGATTTTGGGTAGGGTTACACGCGGCTTCCGTTTGGACAATTTTCCGACCCTTCAACTCCTCCAACCACTCCTCGGCATCCTCACCAACACACATAGGAACCGGCCTGCCCTCTGAGCACACACTCCTACTACGCTCAATCGCAAACCTTCATATACATTGGGAATAACAATATTACTAATAATGTTATATATATCTATAAATGCCATTTTTACATTATTATACTATACTTAGATTGAATATTACTACCCTCCAGCTTCATCCGCTTCGATGATGATGCCCGTCGGTGTCCTCCCTGGACGAGCTCTTTGAAAGCGTAGTCCCACACTAGGATCATGTCATCCCAGTCGGTGACAATACCGTTAATAAGAGGGTAATTGGCATTAACCCCAGATTGATCAGCTGCAGCCAAGGCCTCGTAGCCGACCAAAGTTGAGCCTCGGAAGGCCGTGGAAGCCGAGGAGGCTGAGGGCTGAGGGACCAGCGACGTCACCTCCCTCTTGAGCGGAGGACTCACTGAGTGGTTCAACTGCCGCTTCCGAGTAGTGGTGTTGGTGGTGTTGAAGTTCTCCTCATCGTCACTCTCCTCAGCATCGAAGAACAGTCCGTCGATTCTGAGGAGAACTACTCGAGGGGGTAGGAGGGTGATCGTACCCCAAAGTGCGCCGAGCTACAGCAGCGGGTAGCTGGGCACTGGGGGTCTCGGAAGTGCATAAGCCGCATTTGATCATACTGGGAAAGGAGACCTCATCATATGTCGTATCTCACCCTAGAAGGCCTCACCTTGATCCGGTATCGCAGACGATCGGTGGTAGATTGGACATCGTATAACAGGGAGGGAGAATATTCTAACCTACTGTAGGATAAAACGCCTTTAATAGTAGTTGTAGTGTTGATCGCTTTAGTGGAGTACCACTACTACTCATAGACAGGTTGATACACTACGTAATGATACTACCCACATATAATAGTCATATATCAGAGTTTCACGTGAAGTGACGCGATATTCGCGGTGATATGCAGTAGTCGTTTTTCATATCACTAGGGTGAAATTCCATTAATAGTGATAATAGTATTATCACCGTTATATCATCCTATGGAACCTTGCGACGTGCTCGATAAATCCCTCATGAGCTGTTCAAAGACACTTTCCCCAGGCTTGAATTGACGGCGTTAAAACTCGTGATCCTGACAGCAGCAGCAGCGGCCTTAGGAACATCCCCTGACTTCTGCGTCACTGGGCAATACGTGCTCCACTTTAGTAATGATGATAAAGTAGCAAGATATTGTTACCAAGGAGGAGGTTTGTGAGCAATCGGGGGCGGGTTGCACACACCTTCCCAACACCCTGGAGTAGATATCACATGACGTATAACTCGATCTTTGGAGCACTCTTAGAACTCAGGAGAGTTGTTGCACGCATGCACGGGTTGAGGAAATCCTCGAGTGAGCAAGATTTCCACGACTTTGTGCATACAGAGTCTGTAGTGTTCCCCAACAATATTTTTTCATGAGGTTAAACAGGTTTGAAGAACTTGTTGGAGGATCTTCTTCCCAGCGATATGACTTTGGTAGTAGCAGTTTGTAGCACAGAAATATCCTCAACAGTTATTGAATATAGATGGTAGTAGTATCCCTCGAAGACGTCGG